AAAAAAGAGAACAAAGAAAAGATAAGAAAGAAAACAAATAGAAAGGATAGATTCAAATCTAAAAGTAGTGCTAATTGCATATAATGTCAGTAAAAAGGCCGAAAATTTCCAAGTTGATAAAAAAAAAAAACAAGACCCACCTATATATGTTGTATAAAAGAAATGTGCTTCAAATCTACACAAGTAGATTATGAGTAAAAGGATGGGAAAGGATGTATCATATTAAAAGTAATCTAAAGAAAGCTGGAGTATAATAGTAGACAAAGCAGATTTGGGAGCAAATAATATTAGCAGGAATAAAGAAGGTGATTATGTAATGATAGAGTGATCAATTCATCAAGAATTGAAACAATTCTTAATGTTATGAACCAAATGAAAGAGCTTTAAAATATGTGAAGCAAAAACTTAGACACTGCAAGTAGAAATATAGAAATCCACAAAAACAATCAGATATTTTCATACTCTTCTCTAAATAATAGAAATAGGCAAAAGTGGGGATACAAAAGATTTGAATAACATTAACAACCAACTTCACATAATTGATGTTTGTAGACTATTTCGCCTATCCAAGAATACACATTCTTTTTAATAGTACAGGAAACCCAAAGTAAAGCATATTCTGTAAAGCAAGTCTCAGTAAATTTAAAGGATTAAATCATATAATGGAATTATATTTCTGACCATGATGAAATTAAATTAGAGGCACATTAATAAAAAAAGATTTCTGAAAAAGTCCTGAATATTTGGAAACTGAATAACAGACTTCTAAATAACTTGTGTTCAAATAATTTCTTCAGAAGAAAAATTGTAAAGTATTTTGAAGTGAATGAAAATGAAAACACAAGTAACAAAACTTATAGAATGTCGCTAAGAGACTACTTAGAGGAAAATTTATATAGCTTGTATTAGAAAAGAAAAAAGTCTCAAACCAATGACACTTGCCTCTGCCTTAATAAACTAGAACCATCAAAGCATATTGATCCCAAAGTCAGTACAAGAATGGAAACAATTGCAGTTAGAACAGAAATCAATGAAGTAGAAATGAGAAAAACAATAGAGGAAATATGATCAGGTCAAATTAAAAAAAAATATTTATTTATTTGACAGAGAGAGAGTGAGATCACAAGTAGGCAGAGAGGCAGGCAGAGAGAGAGAGGGGGGAAGCAGGCTCATGCGGGGCTCGATCCCAGGACCCTGAGATCACGATCTGAGCCTAAGGCAGAGGCTTATCCCACTGAGCCACCCAGGTGCCCCTATTCAGGTCAAATTTTGAGGAGACTGATAAAATTGCTAAACCTCTAGACAGAGAAAACTACCACTATCAAGAGTTAGAGTTCTGATGTGATGTTTTTATAGATTCCACCAGTATTAAAAGGATAGTAAGTTGATGTTATAAACAACTTATGCACATAAATCTGACGGCTTCCATGAAATGGGTAAATCCTTCAAAGGACACAAACTCATATAAAAGAAAAAAACTATGTGTCTAGTAAGTAAATCAGATTTGTACTTAAATACTTTCTGACAAAGAAAATTCCAGGCCCAAATGGTTTTACTGAGAACTAAACCAAATATTTAAAGAACATCTGACTTTACACAAATTTTTTTCAGAAAATTGAAAAGGAGTGTATACTTTTCAACCTATTCTATAAAACTTGCATTACCTTTATTTCAAAACTGGACAAAAGACATTGTAAGAAAAGAAAACTATAGACCTGTTTCTCTCATGAACATAGATTCAAGAACTATTAAAAAATTCTGGCAAATTGAACCCAGTAGTATAGAAAAAGGAAAATAAATTATGATCAAGCACAATTTATCAAGGGAATGTGAGGTTGCTTTAATATTTGAAAGCCAATTGCTATAATCCACATATTAATAAACTAAAAATGAAAAAACCCATAATCATAATAGGTGTCAAAAAGCTCCACAGTGAAGTGCAACATCTATTCCTTATAAACTAGGAAACTAGGAATGGAAGGGAAGTGTAAAAACATACAGTTAACACTATACTTCGTGATTATTGTGGAATGAATGTGTTTACCCTCCCACTAAATTCATGTGTTGAAGCCTTAATCTCCAATGTAATAGTGTCAGGAGGTGGAGCCTTAAGAAGATCATTAGGTTTAGATAAGTTCCTGAGGGTAGACCACCCTCCCCCGATGATGGAGGTTAGTGTCCTTATAAGAAGGGGAATAAACCAAAGACTTCCCTCAATTTGCCATGTGAGGATACATTGAGAAGGTGATGGTCTGTAATCTGGGAAGGGAGCCCACACCAGATACTGTGGGGAATAAATGTTTGTTGTTTAAACTACCCAATCTATAGTATTTGTTACAGGAGTCTGAGCAGACTAAGACAATGATGAAACATTGAATAACCAGGAGTATAATAAGAATATCTACTTCCAGTACTTCTATATTAACATTATCGTGGATGTTCTAACCATTGCAATACTGTATGAAAAAGAAAGAAAAGGCATCCTGATAAGACAAATAGAAGTAAAATTGTGTTTATTTGAAGGTGACAAAATTACTTCTGTATAAGAAGATCCAGAACCTACTATAATTTAAAAAATGAGTTTAGGGGTACCTGGGTGGTTCAATGGGTTAAGCGTCTGCCTTAGGCTTGGGTCATGATCCCAGGCTTCTGGGATCCAGCCCAGCAGCTGGCTCCCTGCTTAACAGGGAGCCTGCTTCCCCTTCTTGCTTTGCTGTTGCCCCTGCTTGTGCTCTCTCTAACTTGCTTTCTGTCAAATAAATTAAAAATCTTAAAAAAAAAATGACTTTGACAAGTTTGCAGGACACAAGATCAACATGTAAGAACTTACAGTATTTCTACATACAACCTACAAATAAGCAGAAATTAGTGTAAAAAATAACACCGTTAACAGTATTAAGAAAAAAGAAATACTGTAGAAGAAAAGATCATTATACAAGAAACTATAGTGTTTTTATATACTACCTACAAACAACTGGAAATTGATAATACACAAAAATGCCATTAGCATTAGTATCAAGAAGAAGAAATACTTAAGGGCAAATATAAGATGTGAAAGCCCTATTCATAATTACTACAAAATATTCCCGTACTAAATTAAAGACCTAAATTTTTAAATAGATATCCCATGTTCATGGGTTGGAAGACTCAATATATTAAGAAGTTAATCCTCCCCAAGCTGATGTGTGTATTCAGTGTGATCACAATCAAAATCCCAACAGGCTTTCTTTTTTAGATACCATACAATAACTCAAATTCATACAATATACAAAGGACCTAGAAAAATAAAAAAACGATTCTGATGAAAAGTGGAGGACAAACACTATTTGATTTCAAGAGTTATTAGCTAATGTAATAAAGAAAATAGTATTGGTGTAAATATAGACAGATATATCAGTATAAAGAATAGAGAATCCAGAAATAGGCCCACATGTAAATGGATAATTTATTTTTGATAGGATGCATGGGCAATATTTTCTTCTTAATTTGACAGACTGAGATCATAAGTAGGCAGAGAGGCTCTCAGGGGTGGGGGGCGGGTGGAAGAAGGTTCCTGCTGAGTAAGAGCCCGATGCGGGGTTCGATCCCAGGACCCTGGGATCATGACCTGAGCCGAAGGCAGAGGCTTAACCCACTGAGACACCCAGGCGCCCTGGATACATGGCCAATTTAGTGGAGAACATATAGTCATTTTAACAAATGATGATGGAACAAATAGATATCTATATGTAGACAAATGAACTTTGGTCCCTATCATGCAGCACATAAAATAGTTAAAATGGATTGTAGATGTGACTATAAAATACAAAATACCAAGAATATAGGATAATATCTTGTAAACTGGGGCTCAGCAAAGTTTTCTTAGATAGGCACCAAATATATGATCCATAAAGAAATACATTGATTAATTGGTCTACATCAAAATAAAATATTTCTGCTCTTTGAAAGACCCTGTTAAGGGAATGAAAAAACAAGCCAGGGATTGTAAGAAGATATTTGAAAATCAGATATCTGATGAAGGACTTGTTTCCAGAATATATAAAGAAATTTCAATGCTTAATAATAAGAAAATAAAATACAAATGGGCAAAAGGTTTAAACAGACATTTAACCAAATATATACAGATGAGAAATAAGTATATGGAAAGATGGCCACATCACTAGCCATCAGGGAAAGGAATATTAAAAACCACAATATGAATCTACTATATTTTTGTTAGAATGTCTAAAATTAAAAAGACTGGGGGCACCCAGGTGGCTCAGTTGGTTAGGCATCTGCCTTCGGCTCAGGTCTTGATCGAGCCGCACATTGGGCTCCCTGCTCAGAAGGTTCCTTCTGCCTGTCACCCCACTTGTTCTCTCAATCTCTCTCTCTCTCTCTTTCAAATGAATACATTAAAAAAAATCTTAAAAAAAAAGACTAATTATACTAAGTGTTGGTGAGGAATGTAGAAAACAGCTAAAACTCTTATACACTGCTGATGAAAATATAAAAGAGCACAACCAAATTGGAAAAGTGACGGTTTCTCAAAAAGTTACATGAACACCTACTGTATGATCCTACTCCTTAGTAGTTACCCAGGAGACATATCATTATACAAAGACCATATAAAGAATAACTGCATGAAAGAAGGCAGACAAAGACAGTGTACATACTGTATGATTCCATTTCATAAAATGCTATAAAATTCAAATTAATGAATAACAGCAGAAAATACATCAGCAGATGCCAGGGGACAGAGGTATTTACAAAGGGGCACAATGAAATTTTGGAGGTGATGATTGTTAACATGATTGTGGTGATGATTTCACAAGTGTATACATATATTAAAAAAGTTCAGGTTGTAAACTTTATTGTATATATTGAGTATGCGTCAATAAACCTGATAAAAATAAATTAATTTAAATAATAATATGTTTATGGATTTCATTGATATCCTGATATCTACATTAATAAGTATAATACTGTGGTATAATTACATTAAATCTCTTTTTTTACAGAACAGGACAGTTGGGAAACCTGACAGCTCCTTGTAATTCTCACTGTAGATGCTCATCTTCATTTTATTCTGCTATCTGTGGAAGAGATAATATTGGATATTTTTCTCCTTGCTTTGCAGGCTGTACACTATTTAAAACATTAAATGATAGCAAGGTAATTATTTTTTATTATGCTTCTCCCTCTGGCTGGTCTTTGTGAGGGGGAGAGAGCAAGAGAGATCTTTATTTATCAGGACGAATGGGCATCATGCTACCCCCATAGCAAGCAATAGTGTCTTTTTTTTTTAAATAATGTCTTTTGTTATTTATACACCTCCATAAAAATATGTTTTTTCCCGTTATATACAGGTCACTTTTTTAAAAATAGCATATTAGCATACCTGACCAACTCTGGTTCCTCATAGTCAGGTTTTCACCAGTGTATGACTTAATACTATATCTTCAATTGTTTTTAATGAATATCAATATAAAAAAGGTTACATACACTTTAAAAATATCTCTTCTTAAATGTTACAGTATATGTTTTAAATGATACTTTAAGTCTTTAAAATATATTACTATGGAAAACGTTAAGTGTAATAGAATATAGGAAAGCATACTGAACTCCTATATGTCCATTACCTCTCTTCAGCAACTTATTAACTTAAGGAGAATCTTACTTTATATTCCTTCCAACTTCCTCTCCTCCATTTCAGTTTGAAAAAAATAAATGACCTTTTTAAATGCTCCTGTTTTCACTACAGTATAAAGCCTAATTGTTTGACCTCTGTGTTTTGATCCCATGTGATATTCAAGAGCTAAAAGAGCCATCCACCATAGATTTCCTTCTTTCCTTTCTTGGGGGATTCTCTTTTAGGGAATCCTTAGGGATTTTTTTCTTTTTCATAAAAGTCTTTATAATCTTCTTGCATTTGTCTAAGGAGTAATTAACTCAATGAGTAGCAATGATAGAAGTAATCCACAAAATTGTCACTCAATCTGTGTGGTAACATTTGATACTGAGTAAAATTGCAAGAAGAATAAAATATTTTTGACAAATATTAAAGCTGTTAGAAATTATCCAGAATCAGACTTGATAGAATTAATGGCTCTGAAGGGAAGTGGAAAATAGCCAAAGCTATTAATAGAATTTGATTAATATAATTTGATATGGATAGAATGATTAATAGATGATTAATGATTAATGCAATTTGATATGGATAGAACTGATGAATAGATAAAATATGCTTTAATTTCAAATGGGAAATAATTGATACCAATATAAATATTATAAATTATAAATAATTTTCTTAAGCAAATATTTAATAATTTCATTAAATAATTTAATTTTATTAAATTTTATTAAATGACAATTAAATAAAAGAAATAGTATATATAAAAAGTAATTTTGTATATAAATGATGTTAATGGAATTCCCGCCATTGAAAATATTTTTTCAGTCAAAGTATGTCAACTTTGAAATAATTCTGATTAAGAGGCACCTGAGTGACTCAGTCGGTTAACTGTGTAGGTCTTAATCTCAAACTCAGGTCTCCCCCTCAGGGTTCAAGCCTTACGTTGCGCTCCTAGTGAGTTCAAGCCTTATGTTGTGCTCCTAGTTAAAAAAATTTTTTTTGCTCTGAAATAATTCTGATTAAATGTTTATATTTAAAACATCAGAGTAAAAGTGAATTAGAATTGGATATTCTTCAAATACACTTATGAAAAAATATTGAGTGGTAGAAAATACTTTAAAGATTTCTAATTTTCTTTAGAAAATTAGAGCCTTACTAAAACTGAAAATAGGTATCTGTTCTTCGTACTGCTAATATTCCTGGGCAGTTTTGTATCATTGACATCCATTTGCATTTTTCCCTATCTGTGCTACCAAAGATCTTCAAATTTCCTTAATATAGATAACTAAAGAAATCTTGGGCTTTATTTCATGCTCTTGTCACTCAGACTAGGTTTTTTTTTCAGCTGATATAGCTTACATTTTAAATATCAGGATCATGCTGCTTTTCCCAAAGATTGCTCTATTATAACAGGAGCGTCATTCTAATTATCTATGAAGGGGGTATTAATCTCGCCCAAAACATTAAGAATTATAAGAAGTCAGGCTTTAAAATCTCCTTCCATTGGCACATCCTTAGATATTTTAATTTCATTTACTCATTTTCCACCTTAGTTTTATTTTTATCATCTACTGTATTTCTTCATGTATTTTAAATGATATGAACTATCATTACTGTTCTGTAAAGTCAGTATACACTTATATTTACCCATTTCCTTGCATTTCCATGTTTTCATATGAGATTACTTTCTTTCTTCCCAAAGAACCATATTTCACCTTCATTTCTGAAAAACAAAACAAAACAAAACAAAAAACAAAAACTGTTTCACTGGGTCTGGAATTCTATATTGGCAGTGATCTGCCCGCCCCCAATCTTGCAACCCTGGAATTTAAAAGATGCCATTTGATTGTCGTATATCTCTTACTGCTTGGTGGCTATTAAGATTTTCTTTTTGTTTTTGGTTCTCAGCAGTTTTACTTTGATAGTCCTAGACTGGAGTTTCATTACACTTACTTTGCTTGGTTTTCACAGAGCATCTTTGGTCAGTTGATTTATGTGGTTCTGTTTGAAAATTCTCAGCTGTTGTTTCTCCCTTACTCTCTTCTCTTTTTTGTGGGCAGTGGGGAACCATAAGTTAATTTACTATTGCTACCTGACAAATTACCACAGGCTTAGCGTCTTTAAATAATTCTGTTTATTTCACAGTTCTAAGGTCATATGTCCAGACGCCATGACCGGGTACTTTGTTGAGTGTCACAGACTGAAATCTGGGTGTTGGCTGGGCTGTACTCCTTTCTGGAGGCTCTGGGGAAGATTCTGCTTCCAAGTTCATTCAGGTTATTGGCCATTCTGTTGTTTTGAGATGTAAAGAATGAGATCTTTGTTTCCTTGCTAGCTGTCAACTGAAGACCAATTTTAGCTCTTATAGGCTACCCCCATTCTTCACTGCATGATTCCCTTTGTCTTCAAGGCTGGAACAGATGGTCACTCCTACGTCACATGCTTTGAATCTCTAATTTCTGAAAAATCCCAGTACTTTTCAAGGCTCACCTAGTTAGGTGAGGTTTATCCTCTCTCTTTTATAGTCATCTATATCACATAACGTAATTTACTAAGGGGAGAAAATTTCAGCAATTCATAGGCCTCAGAATCATGCAGGCTTATGCAATGGGGGTGAGAATCTTAGGTGGCATCTTAGAATTCTACCTCACACCCATTACAAATAGGCTTTCCGCTGTGTTTACTCACCATGTTTTTCAGTTCTAACATTTATGTTTTTGTAGGATGCAAAACCCTGGTGAAATTCCACATCATTTAAATATTTTATCCATTTCCCCCTCTCTCTCCTGGAAATTATTAATCATTGCTATTTTAACTTTCTTACTGTTAGGTGCGTTATGTGGATCATACATGAGTCTTACTTGTATTTGTTCTTCTCTTAATGATAAGCCAATTATTTTATCTCCCAATAAAATTTTACAAATTGTCTATTTCTCTGTTTTAGCTTCATGTATTTTTAGACTCTTATATGTATACACATTGATAATTGTTACATCTCATTACTGAGTTACTTTCATCTTTATTAAGTGTCTTTTTCCATCCCTAGTAATTGTCTTTGTCTCTACATCTATATTTTATTTTTAAAATTTTTTAAAAATTATTTATTTATTTATTCATGAGAGACAGAGAAACAGGGGCAGCAGGAGAAGCGGGCTTCTCATGGAGCAGGGAGCCCAATGGGGTCTCAATCCCAGGACCCTGGGATCATGACCTGAGCCAAAGGCAGATACCTAACCAGTTCAGCCACCCAGGTGCCCATTAACATCTATATTTTAAACAGTCACTTTAGCTTTCTCTTGCTGACTATTTCCATGTATATCTTATTTCATCATTTTATGTCCCAACTATTTGTGTCTACATTTAAAGTGTTTCTTATAGTCAGCATGTAATATGGTTTTGCTTTTTCTTCAATTCTGCTAATCTATTTTTTTTTAAGATTTACTTATTTATTTGAGATAGAGAAAAAGAGTGTGTGCAAGTGGGGGGAGGGGCCGAGAGGGAGGGAGAGACTCTCAAGACTCCCCACCAAGTGAGGAGCCTGACATAAGTCTGATCTCACCCCCCTGAGATCATGCATGACCTGAACTGAAATCAGAATTGGACGCTTAACCAACTGAGCCATGCGGGAGCCCATCTGCTAAATCTCTTTTAATTGAAGTTTTCCTCTACTGGAATTTTTTGCAATTATTGATATAGTGGATTTGGATCTACCTTCTTCTTTTTTTATTATTTGAATTGAATATATTTTACTATTTTATTTTAATGTAACTTTTGGCATTTTGATTATATTGCTTTGAATATGACTCCATGGTCCTTCAACCCTTCCAGGTCCAAATATCTTGTGGTTCTACCGTTTGCTCACTAAACCTTCTTTGTATTTTCATTTTGCCCTTTGTCAGCCTAGGTTCTATTGTCTGCAACCATTTATTATGCATTTATCTTTTGTCTAAATTTCAGGTCCACTTTTCATTTTTCTCTATATTCCTCATTGTTCAAGGAGAGAATGAACTATAGCATGAGAGCGTCCTTGGCTTCTGACTGGGTTAAGATAATAAAAAGTTCTAGTAGAAAATCAGCTCAAGTCATGATCTCAGGGTTGTGAGATCAGACCCATGTCAAGCTTCTCACTCAGTGGGGAGTCTGAGGTTCTCTCCCTCCTTCTCTACCCTCCCCACCACTTGGAAACACTCTTTTTCTCTCTCTCAAATAAATAAGTAAAAAAAAAAAAATTTTTTTTTAACCTGGAATATACTTTTTTTCAGACAACCACAAGGCTCACTTCCTTATCTTCTTCAAATCCCTGCTCAAATATCACTGCATCACTGAGACATTCCCTAATCATGCTAAATTCACTTCTATAATCTCTATATTTTTTTCTTGCTTTATTTTTTCCTCCAAAGTTTTTGTCACTGTGTGTTTCATTATAAAGTGGTTTTTTTTTTAAATTACCTGCCTTATCCAAGTTATCTACGTGATGGCAGGGATTTCTTTTGTATTGTTTACTGTGTTTTCCCAGCACCTAGAATGGTGTTTGGCACATAGGCACTAAAAAGAATATGGTGGAATAAATTAATTACAATTTGAATATTTGGATATTTCCAGTTGTTATCTAACAGATCTAGCAATCACATAACAACTGCCCCAAAGAATCCGACATGATTTTGAATCACAGTTTTATGAATCACTCAAATTCAAGTCATCTTTTTTCCTCTTATTCTTTAACTGGTAACCTAGTTCCATATTTCTGGTGAATTTATTGTTATTTTTTTAAAGTTAGAATATTTTCAGTAGACTAGTAAGTTGCTAACTAGTCTCTGTATCACCAAGCTCTGTTTAGTTCTTCTTAGAAAATATTACCTATTTATTTTCTTTGATTTATCAACCCTACAACAACAACCCCAAATTGTCATTCGGGGCTACATTGTAACTTTAATCAACTCTAGACTCTTTTGCCTTTGTAAGCCCCTTCCCTCACTTAAAAAAAAAAATAGTGTAAAATTTCATGGAATGGGGACAAGTGTGATCCCAGCTGGATTCATTTATTTATTCATTTTTATTATTATATTCATTTTTCCTTTAATTTTAGGAGACACTAAAACTCAAACGTCTGATTGGGCCCTTAAAGTATTGTGGACCTTAGACATTGTGCCTACTACTTTGCCTAATACATAACAGCCCTCATCATTACATACAAAAGTCTTATCTTTTTCTCACGGTTCCAAAACCTTTACAGTTGGGTAACTGTCCATTTTTCAAGTCCCAGCTAAAAATCCACTTTATTCATTATCTTAATTGTCCTCATTTTATACAACTCTCCAAGAATTATTTGTGCAATTGAATGTAAATACCTTTGGTGAAATTTTTTAGCTTAATAGAATTTATCAAAAAAAAACTCTAGTTACACACACATGCACACACATTTTGTTACATAAAATACCTAGGGCTTATCATTAACATTTCATTTCTAATAATGAATGGCAGAGTTAATGTACGAATATTGACTCATAAAACTAGCTAGTGTCCCTGCAGTTGTTGATTTTATTTCATTTTGCAATAACAGGAGTATTGCTTTATGACTATATTTCTAAAAGATCCTTTCTTATTTTCATTTTCCTAGGCATACTACAATTGTTCTTGCATTCAAGAAGGATTAACAACCTCGGATGAGCAAGGTGATTTTATTGATGCTAGACCTGGGGCATGCAATACAAAGTGCTATAAATTGCCTTTGTTCATTGCTTTTATCTTCTCTACGATTTTATTTTCTGTTTTATCTAATACACCATGCACCCTGACCATCCTCCGGTATGTATATATTATTCAAAATCATTGTTCATTTAATGCACGAGAAAGCCAATTTTAGGAAAATTTTAGAATATTGCTATAAATGATTTACTCTTCTGTTTTGAGGTACCAACTGTAAGAAAGGAAATTGCTATATTATTGAAATTCATATATTTGCTTATTTCTCTGTTTGAACTAATTTTATTTGCTTAAAGTTTGTAACTATCACATTTAGGTTCAATTAAATTTAACTTACAATGTGGTAACTTCTTATATAGGAAAATTGTTATATTGTCAAAATTCATGTATATGTTCTAATTTTTTATTTTATCTAATTCATTTACATAAAGCATATAAATAACACATTTAGCTTATCTTTAAAACTACTTGATTAACTTGATTCAATACACCTGGAAAAATCATAAATAGAAAATTCATAAATAGAAAATTCTTAATAATAACACAAATGTGATTTTAATGTTGATTCATTAGTTACAGGTATTTATTAAATATTTGTTTCTATATTAACCAATTTGATTATGAAAAAACATCAGTGTCATTAGCAAAGGAACATGACAACTTAAAAAATTTTGGAAAACCAGTACACAAGTTTTTCTAAATTAAAGCAACATTTGCTCTTATTTCTACTTTTTTTTAAAAGATTTTTAAAATTTATTTATTTGGCAGAGAGATCACAAGTAGGCAGAGAGGCATATGCAGAGAGAGGAGGAAGCAGGCTCCCTGCCTAGCAGAGAGTCCTATGCGGGGCTCGATCCCAGGACCCTGAGATCATGACCCGAGCTGAAGGCAGAGGCTTAACACACTGAGCCACCCAGGCGTCCCTATTTGTACTTTCTGAATATGTGAAATACATTTAGTATTTCTTTTCATCATATTAGAAAAATAGTCACTTATTATTTTCAATTATTTTTTTCAAGAGACTAGCATAAAACTTTAAGTCATGAGGATCAGTTTGTCTCCTGGGAAAACAGACTAGAAAACATAAATAAATGTATGCAAAAACGATTCTGAGAACTTGGGGACATGTGGTTTCTGCTTTCAATTAACTTGCAATTTAGATGGGAGACAAAAGTTGGACATACAGCTACAGTAAAGCAGCTTTTTTATCCATTCATCTGTGTTGGACTAAATTTCAGGGGTCAGTAAGATATATGCCTTGCCTTCAAGTTGCTTAGAGTATAGGAGGAGAAAAAACACGTAAGTATAGTGACTAATTAAAGGTGCCTTGATGGAAGTTTGGAGAGATTGACACCGGAAAATGTGGAAGAAATGGTCATTCTTATCTAGGATGATTGGGAAGTGCTTATAGAAGGTATGGTGCATGAACTGAGTTATGAAGATAAGTGCTTTGTTATAATGCAAATAGATTAAGGGAAATTTCTTAACAGGAAAACTGAACAGTGAAAGTAGAGGCAAAAATGTGTGAAATATCTTGGCAAGGAGTTTGTTATGACTGGAGTAGCATGATGGTAAATGAGACAGGGAGATTTGTATTCTATAAGGGTCTGATCATGGAAGGGTTTCCTTACCATATTAACATGAATTATGGAAAGAAATGAAATATGAAATATGAAGAGGATCTCAGGATTGACAGATCTCCTGTATCTCTCCAGCATATATTTCTGCTCAGAAGGAGAAGGCCCCACCTTATAATGGAAGTTTTGGGAGCACACCCTAAGTAGATAAGTCAAGGTAGACGCTCTCTGGAAAGAATGAAAGAAAAGGCCTGGAAAATGCCCAGGAGCTCCAGACATAGCAGATTTCAAAAAGTGCCAGCAAAATGTACCTTCTATAATTGAATGCATAACATTAGAAAACAAGAAATATGAAGAGATCTCAGAAGCCCATGGCTTGCAGTAGAAGTTCTTTTGAGGTAGACCAGAATTGGAGAGGCACAGGAGGTAGAGCCATACATAGGAATCATAGTTAAGTCCTCCCCATGTCAACAGAGGAGATAACTTTAGTTTTGAAGCTTGGAAGCCCTGCTTTATGTTCCATTATCATAACCTGTCTCTAATTTAAGAAAGTTCATCTTATCATATTGTATAGCCTGGTTTCCACTTATTCAAGTAGAAAAGGAAAGGTTTCCGCCTTCATACAAAATAACCATAGTAAAAGAAATGAAAGTTGTTAAACATTACTACACACAATGAAAACTCAATAGAATACTGTTACTGTGAATCAGATAAAAATATAAATGTAGCTATATGTAAGTTTAAGCTAAAAATAATTTAAAAAAATATGGCCACAAAATGAGAAAATAGCTAGATAAAAGTGGTTATGGAATGCAAACTAACAAAACTCAGGAAAGAAATCGAAAGGAAACAATTCAGAAATGTGAACAAAATTACAAAGCACACAGGGAAGTAAAAACAACATAGAAACCAACCGTGGTTGAGAAAGAGGGAGGGAAAGCGGGAGGGAGAAATGGAGAATATAGAATAAAAATAAGTAACAAGTATTAGAAAAAAAGGGACAAAAATAGAAGATAGGAAAAGAAGATCCAACATACACATAATTGAAGTTCCCAATGAAGAAAACCAAACAATCCAACAATAAATCTCAGGTTAAACTTTACTGAAATGATATTTAATAAATACTGAAAGAGTAAGCAATAATAATAAATAATGAATGTATACTGAAATATAAAATATTTACATATTAAATGGCACATCAAGTTTCTAAGGAAACTGACTCAAAACAGTCAATGCTGAGATATATAATAGTAAAAATGTATTTAGAGATGAAGAAATAGTTCTTTTCCCATCTAAAAAAAGAGGAAAGCAAAAAAGTTTTGCACTGGATTTCTCGACAGCAACATTCACCTCTACAAAACTAGAGAGACACTTAAAAGATTGCTGAGGAAAGAAAATATGAGTTAATTATTGTATCATCAACAAACTTCCTTACGATTATAAATAGTTTTGATGTGGCAGAACCCAGGAAATGTTGTTATGAGATATTTCTTAAGAATTGACAGCAAGACAAGTTATAACTAGCCAAGACATGATTGGGAAACTTTGATAAAAGGTCCATTGCAGAGCATTAGCTATATTAAACTAACAGGTTTAACTGCTTATATTTAACTAATATATCTTCTAAATATAATTAATTTATGCTAGAACTAAGACAAATACTAAGCTGAGCATAAGGGTTACAAAACAGAATGCAATGTAATATGATTTGATAAGTAGAAATTATATAACAAAAATGGGTGAAGAAAACAGATCAAAAGAAGGACAAGCTTGTTGGATGCCTAATAGATAATAAATGAGGAGTCAAGGGAAATCAACTTTATAGACATTTTACTGAAACATAGTATATATTAAGAAGAGTGCATGTATCACTTGTATACAGTCTGGTGCATTTTTACAAAGTGAAGACACCAGTGCAACCACAATCCAGTTCAGGAAATCAATAATTATAAATATTCCAAAAATCCTTCCAGGAATAACTTCTTTCTTGTCACCAATTCTTTCATTCCTTAAGGTTACCATTATCCTGACTTCTATGCTGAATAGGTTAATTTGCTCTGTTTGTATTTTATGTGTATAGGAGACACATAGTCATTTGTGTCTATATTGTGTTACTCAACAGTATATTTCTAAGAGTCAATATTGTTGCATGTGAAAGAAATTATCTTCATTGCCCTATAGTATTGCTGTCCAACTGTATATTCTAAAATAATGAAATGTTTTATATATCTGCAGTCCAAAATAGTGGTCTCTATCCACATGTGTATGTTGACATTTGAAGCACAATTAAGTTGAATGAGACACTGGACTTTAATTTTTATTTAGTTTTAGCTGACTAAAATTCAAGTAGGCATAAATAGTTAATGGTTACCATATTGTATAGCCTGGTTTATAGTAGCCCATTGTATGAATATACTAAAATTTGTCCATTTTTCTATGGTTAATGTTTTCAGTTTAGGTCTGTTAGGATTGCTGTTTCCACGAACATTTTTGTACTTTGTTTTTGGGAAAGATATGAATACATTTTATTGAATACATATTAAAAGAACAGAATTGCTGGGTTATAGGGTTTATGTATGTTAAGCCTTTTAATTTTAAAAGTATTTGCACAAATTCATTCTTCTAGCAGTCTATTTTTTTTTTAACTTGAGCAATTTTGATGGGTATGTGTTAATATTTCAATGCGATTTTAAATTTCTTATTTAAAGGACTGATATGATTGAACACATTTTCTTGTACTTCTTAGCCATATGAAAGTGCAATTTTTTCAAGTATCTGTTTGGTTCCTTTTTCTTTTTTTACACTGGGTTGTCTGTTTATTATTGATTTGTAGGATTTCTTTCTATATTTTTTATATACCCCAGGTCGGAAATTACTTGTCATATATTCATAACAAATATTTTTTTCCAATTCAATGCCATGCCTTTTTGGCTGTAATAATGTCATTTTTTGAGGGAAATAAATTTTTGATTTTAATGTAGTATTTAAGAAATATTTCCCTAAGCAGAATCATGAGAACATTTACTACATTATTTTAATAAAAGTTATGAAATAATTCAGCTGGAAATTTTTAAAATATAATATAGAAATCTAGTTTCATTTTTTAATTTTATGCATACTAAGAGACTCTCCACCCTTTACTAAAAGGCTATACTTACCCTGTAGCAGTGTACAAGAGATGCTATATATGTGGCTCTGTTTCTGTATCTATTTCTGTTCCATTAGTTTATTTATGCATCGTTGCACCAGTATTCCACTGTCTTAATTGTTGTATAGTTATTGTGAATATTTGTATCAGTTGTTGTTGTAAGTCCATCTTCGAGACTTTCTTGGCCATTCTTGTACTTTGAGGTGATTGAAATCCAACTAGTCAATAATAACATGATGAGATTTAAAAAAAAAAAAAACATTTTATTTGATAGAGAGAGAGAGTGCGCAGGAGGAAGGGGCAGAGAGAGAAAGAGAATCTTCAAGCAGACTCCCTGCAGAGCAGGGAGCCTGATGTGGTGATCGATCTCATGACCC